ACTCTTATCTAACATACATTTGGGTAAATTTCGATAATAAAGGCTTACAGCGAATAAAAGCGCAAAAAAACCCTGTTTGTCAGAAATTACAATTTAACATAAGAGCAATTAAAAAGGATTTTACTGTCCTCAAGGAGGTTAAGCCTCAAAAAGGTCATTGCTAAAGAAGCTGACTGTTCATAGAGTGCTGTGGCCAAACATCCATCTGTCATTTACACTGGCTATATACTTAGTAGGGTCAAGAGGGGGCTGGTGCTCATCTCTGGCAGCTAATGGGTAAGAGCAGTGGCACACCGTGGAAAGGTCAGCAGTCCATCACAGGGCAACACAGGAAAAACAACTATGAACACATATTCGCTCTCACCTCCGGGCAATTTCAGATGACCAATTAACTTTGCATGCAAGCTTGAGTCTGTTTCACTAAAGCGGAGTATCCAAAAACCAATGCAGGCCCGAAGAGATGATGCAAAGTATAGACAGAAAGACGTTGGCTGGGATTTGATTGAAAGGACTTTTGTGCTCAAAGGTATCAAGGCTGCACATTTTGGTAACTATGTCATTTTCTGGTGCTGGTCCACTGTGTTTTGTCAAGTGCATAGGTCTTATATAACACTTAAGTTCTACAAGAAACTTAATGTGGGGTTTTCATTAGATGCCAGCCAAAAAAATATAAGTTAGCCAAAATAAATGGTATAAATGCATGACAGTGTGTCATTATTATACGCAATATGAGTTTCACTTTCTCAGTTAAGTAAACTTCACAATATTTTCAACTATTTTCTAATTTATTGAGAACCATCAGTGTCATTTAACAGTATTTAATTCGCTGATATCAACTACGTGATCTGCTAAATTAAATCGAACACTAGTTTGCTCCTGTTTGCGAGTCGCACACACCTCAGATATTGTGTTATGGTCCGTTTGGAGCTGGATCTCTAACTCAAGCGAGCGTTCTTTCTGCCGTTTCAGCTCTGCCCTGAATACACAGCAAAGACAAAAGGGAAAAAAAAACAAAAAAAAAAACATTAGAGCCGAGGCTCAGCTCAAAGACACAACAAAAACATTTATAAAGCTTTGTTTTCCCGCATTTGCACTATTTCAGATGTATCTCGGCTATTGCTCAGAGCAGAACAACATCAAGTGTCAAATCAATTTTTGTATGAGATGTTTCAGCACCTTTGATAGTGTTCACGGTAAAACAGATGCAATATTGCAATCCTCAGGCAGCGGAGCTTAAAAAAATAAGGGTATTTGTTCTTGAATAATACACTGTTTTGTACATAATGAATCACAGTATTAAATATTTATGCATTTCATCAATTTTAAACATCCCCTTTAAGCCGTCTGCCAGTTACTAACTACTTTTACATTAAATTGTTATGGCTCAACACTTCACGTTGAGGGCTTCATCTTGCAAAGAATGCGCCGGCTTTTGTCGAGCGCCGCACAGCTTTCCATTTTTTTTAATGAGAAACAAAGAAAGACGGGGGTAAAAAGCAAAGCATTTTGCATCAAGTGAAAGGCACAGGTGCACTCAGATACACCAACAGACGCTGCACATTTGTTAATGTGATTTGCCAGCCCATTTGGATAAGTAGTCAGCTTAGTCAAAGGCTACAAAGACACTCCAAGCCGGAGTGCCGCCGTCGAATCAGACGAGTGGCTTGAGGAAAACGGTAATGGTGTAAGAGCGACAATGTAGAGCGGGATGTAGACCTGAACCCAGCAGACCGTCTCTGGAGACATGAAAGAGCCGCGCGCTGATGTTCCCGCTCTTGCTCGATAGGTCGTGGAAAAATGAAAGAAATCCCAAGAGTGAAGCTGAACCACACATGTAAGATAACCGCGACAAAGATCTGGGGGAAAAAAACTGGCAGCTTCAGAGGCCGCCTGGGGGGGTCAGATTAATACAGATCATCACTCACTACTAACAAACCCTAAACACTTCTAATAAAATTCTATTCCACTTAGAAATACTTTAATAATCCCAAATGGAAATTAGTTGTTGTCTCAACTTTCACGTATTGATCTCTTACATCTTAGAACTGCTTAGATCTAAGCTAATACAGTTGCCCTGTACAGCATGCTGCACGCAGACCTTACATAAATAAACTTATTCTCTTCCTCTTCAAAAACACCAGAAATAGATCTGTGCATCTCTTCCTTTCCTTAGAAATGTTAAAGCCCCATCTCCACACATCCTTACTTGAGAGCTGTGATTTTAGTTTCAAAGGCCTGCGCTAGGTTCTTGGCCTCTTCCTTCCATCGTTGAGTGCTTTTCTGCTGTGCTGCAAGGAGGCGTGTCAGATCGGCGCTGGCGCTTCGGCTCCTTTCCTCCAGTTCCTTCACCCGCGCGTCGAGTCCCTGCTCTTTGAGGCTGCATGCTTGCTCCATCTCGGAGACCTAAAGCGGAGACGGCCGTAGAAGAAGCTTGCCGATTAAAATGTTTTTAAATTCCCAGTTCCTTCTGTACAATTAAATAAAGTCTGCAACAATGACCCTGAAGTAATAACTGCATGTATCTTTTGAATAAATAATGTAAGCATGATCAAAATCGTCTGTATATTGTAAAAACTGATGACAAATTGTGAAGAATCCTGTGCAATTTTCTGAAATAAAGAGACGCCCTCTTTAAAAACACTGAATGACAGACGTGTAATTACCAACGTTACCTCAGATTTTTCATTTTTTTCTATAAATCCTTCCTGGCAGTCAGTATCAGTAAATCACCAAGTGGCTCCTCTCTATCCGCAACCTTATTTGAACCCTTTTTTCTTGTTCCCCTCATGTCTAGTGTTGTTTAGTTATTTAGGCAATAAACACTTTATTGCCTGAAATGGAGTAACATAACTTTACTTTAGTGAATGCTTGATCATCTGTAGTAAAGAATGCGTCTGCAGCTAGCAAATGCTTCATCATCATGTGAGAAGCTCAGTTCTTTCTGCTTGACTTATCAATACTCTGTGGGTTACAATCTGTCGACTATTTGTTGCATTACCCGATTCGTAATTGGGTAAAAAAGGTGTTTAATAGAAGATTTTCTTTCTACAGAATTTGAAGCCAGATGATGTCAATTAAGTTTAGATTATTAAACGACATATTAACTAACAAAGAAGGTTTTTTTTTTTCTTAATCTTAAATCCAAAATGAGGTCTTTGTTTGAGTCCGTATACTCTAGTTAACGATTAATCAATTTCTAAATTTGTTTAATTTCAATAATGGATTCATCACGATTAATTCGACTAATCGTCTCAGCCCTATTACTTTCTGCTTGGCGTTTCTTTGGATCTGCATGCTGGCCTTGCGCAGGTCGTCCATCTCCTTGCGCAGCCGCGTGTTCTCCTGCTGCAGCTGAAGCCGCTCGTCGCTGACGCCGACGCAGTCGCTCCGAGCCGCAGCCAGCAAGTCCTGCAGCCGCCGCACCTCCTCCTGACACCGCGACACCTCCTCGCCGTAGCTACGGTGGACCAGATGAGGAGGATTAATTTCCTTGCCCGCTAAGCTAACGAGTCGCTCGCCTACAGTGACGTGCACACGTTGCCACTTACTCCATCTCCATCTTTTTCAGCTTGCTCTGAGTGCTTTGGAGAGTGAGGCTAGCGTCGTCCTTCAACCTCTCTGCATTCAGACACCTCTGATGAAGGGCCTCGATCTTCTTGAACTCCGGCTCCGCCCTGCCTTCCTTGTACACCTAAACAAAAACAGATCCCACGTGCCCAGTCGTAGAACCGCGCAATCAAACGGCGTCAAAGCCTCTGCATCCGACTGCAGCAGAGAACATGCTCGAGTTGTTGCGAGTACCTTCTCCAGTTCTTCTTCTACAGCTTTCCTCTCACGCTGGGATCTTTCGATCTGAGCCTCTTTATCTGCACACTCCTAGAAAGAGAGGGGTATAAGGGTTGACATGGAAGACATGAGTTGAAGACAGACACAGAGAGAGACTAAAAAAAGGGTTTAGTGTCATTTTGAAAGGAGTATCCCCGTGAGAGGGAAGCTTTGTACCAGCTGCAGTGCAGACAGTTCTTCTGCCATACGATGGATTTGGATGTTGCACTGCTTGCGCACGTTTTCCACCTGTTGGCACAAAAAGAAACGGAAGAAAGAGCAAAGAGGATTTCACTCGAGCGATTAATGAGTTAACACGGCAGATGGAGGAAACGAAAAATGAATCGAGTACGTTTGCATTCAGACTCTGCCTTGAATATTTTTCCTTCCCAGGAAGCACAATTAGATGACTCAAAGTACGCGCAGAAAATCTTGCAGGAAGCACAAATGAGGCTTAAAAGAAATGGAGATTTAAATGCCGAGATAAATAAATGACCCTTCGGTCCCACACAAGTAGCAATGTGAACACAACATAAGATGATGCAATAAATAAAGGTTTTCTTTTGAAAATGTAAATGTCTAAGGAAATGACAGCCATAATTTACAATAACAACTATTTAATGACTGAAATATATTTGTGACTGATGTTTTAGTTTGTTTCAAGGATGAGTAGTGAAAATGCACCAACAGATTACTCAGAGATTGGCCTTGGACAATTCTCCTTCGATCAAGTTTATTCAATTTTTAAACAAAAAAAAAAAAGGAAAACAGGAACAAAACTAAGAACTTTCACCCATCTTTGGTCTACCCACACTTTAACCAACAGCACACAGCTTTTTCTGAGTTTAGCAAAAAATCAATTTAAGGTTAAGGACATGGGCTTTGGTGGATAAATGGGAATAATCTTAAGATTGCTTAATTTTATATGGTTTTAATACGACTGTGTCTATAAAAACAGAACTTCAAGAGTTTTGTTTTTCTCTTTCATATATCATCTAAACAATTTTTAACAAACAAATAAATGAGCTAATGTGACCTCCCAAGGAAGACACTGTCAAAATAATACAAGTTTTTTTTTTGTTTGTTTGTTTGTTTGCAACTACTAATGATGGCTTCTCAGCTGATACTTTTCATGACTGCTAAGCTCATAAATGCTTTGATGAGTCAAGAGAGAGAAGTCAGGAAAGGACATGTTTTTTAAAAAATAAACAAAGAATGAGAGAAATGAAAAATCTGAGATATGTTCTTGGACTTATTGTAGAGTATGTTTTTATCTTTAACTAAATAATATAAACTCATCACAGTGAGCAGCCTGCTTCGTTCCCTGCTTTCTGACATGTCGCATGCATTTCTTCACAAAAAAACACTCACACAGCCGGTAGAACTTTTACACCTATTTACAGAAATACATATATCGTACATGTTCTTTGCAGCTGTGTTACTGATGCAGTTGTGGTTCAGTTTCTTGGCACACGATGTTCTCCAAATGTTCATCAGTGAAATCGAGCAGAGTAAATGTGTATGATATATTCATGCATATTAACATAAAGCACGTGAGAGCTAATGCGTTTTCTAAAGACACCAACAACCAGCAGAAGGTCAGAAATAATGCATCGACACCCTCCATGTTTAACGGTGCATTAAGAGGACACATTTTCTTGATGCCATATGCAGACCCAGGCAGATCAAGATACATCTTCCTTGCTTGTGATCCATAGTCTGTAGTTTTTCCCGTTTTGAAGAGAGACTTAGAGATTCTGCTTCATGTCCTAATCACACCCCGGGGGGAAACTTACAGCCGGGGATAAAAAATGAAATGCTTCTCAAGATTCTGATCAACTTTAAAAAAAAAAAAAAAAACAGTAAAACACAAATTTAAAGAATATGCATCAACATTTAACTGTAAATGAATTTTACAGTGGTGCAGCTGAGTTTTTATTTATTTATTATTTTTATATAACTTGCTTTTTATCAATGAATAAACATTTTCAAATTAAAGATTAACCAATTCTATTTGTTTGTGTGTGAGGAAGTAAACTACAGCAGGAAAAAAAAAAGAAAAAAAAAAGAAAAAGATTTTTATATACTGAAGTAACATCTTTCCCAGGGACACATATGAATGTAGAGGATGTTCTGGAAGTTTTCCCTCTAATGCTTAACAGTCTGGGCAATACTTATGTCCTCAGAGTACAAAGTCTGGCTAAAACTTGTAGGTAACCTGGAGATTAATTCTTCATTATACATGCTTGTCTTCCCTCTGAGTGGCTTTAAAAGAGGGAAAGGGGCAAAAAAGAGATTAAAATGGAAAAAAAAAGTGTCTTGCTCTCGAAGTAATATTTAAAATTAAGTACCTGGAAGGTAAAAAAGTTAAATATGCATGTGGGTCCTTAAATGAAGAAAGTCCAAGGCCTCAAATGTCCGCCCTCGACATATTTTAAAAGAGTAGGGACATAAATAAATGCAAGCCGGCGCTTCAGCCATGTTTGGACGTGGAGCTCTGCAGTGACAGGAACACAAATCACTATAACTTTCAGATTGCACAGCGTTCCTACTAATTTTTCATGTCAAAATTGCAGAATTCTTCAGACTCTGAGTTTTCTGTGTTTCTTGAAGTGTAAATACAAACATTAATATTTATGGCATCTTTGTGTACAATGCATAGGTTTTTAACTCCTTAGAATTGCAGGAGCTAACTTGTATAAATAACAGTTTTTTTTTTTTTAAATATATTCACAAAAGCTATCAATGTATTGTGACAGTTTAACACGAGACAGATAATCAGCAAAAAAAAAATAAATAAAAATCGAGCTTGAGAACGTACCAATCTTCCATCAAAAGTGTGATTGATGCCGGTTTAAAAATGTTTCTAAATGCAGCATTTTTACTTCATAAACCAACCTCAGCTGGTGCTTTGCAATGAATGGCACAATTTATTTTGCTAAAACAAGAGAACTGTTTATCCGACCAGTTCCAAATGTTGTACCTCTTTCCTGGTTCGGACTGCAGCCTCCTGGATCAAGAGCTTGATGGCATGCGTTGTCTTTTCAAGCTCCTCTGTCTTCTGCTTCTCTCTTAAAAGGCACTGCAGGGTAAAATAAAAAGAGAGGAAAAGGCGCACAATTCAGAGGTGGTATTTCTGAGAGAATGTGAAGAGTTGTCAGGGATATATGGTGCAGCTGAGCAGACTGAGAGGAAGACTCATGTCAGTACAAAAAAAGAGAAAAAGAAAAGAAAAGATTTGACGGAAAGACGAGGCGAGACTGGGGGGGGTCACCTGCTCCTTCTGCAATACAGCCTCTTCAGCTACTTGAACATTCTCTCTGACTTTGGACAGAGCCTCGAACTTTTCCTCTTCCAGGGCGGTGCAACGCGCCTGGAGTTCCCCCACCTTTGTCTCCCACACAGCTTGCTCTCGACGAACTGCCTCCGTCTCCAGAGATGCAGCCTTTAGCCTGGAAAAGGAGGAAAACAGTGAGAGCGAGCAGCGGAGAGAGAGTAAGCACTGCCGTTTGGCCTTGTGACACTTAAAGCTCAGATGTGGAACTCGATGACTTCCCATCAGATCAATATTGCAGTATACTTAAAAAAAAAAAGAAGGAAAAAAAAAAAATTGACAGAACAGTTCCTTCTCGCCTGTCAGACCTGTAATAAGAAGTGACAGGTGATTACTGGTGAAGTAACAGCAGGTTAAAAATGTGTTCACCGGGTTTCCAGTTGGCTCAGGGATGACTGAAGCTGTTGGAGTCGTCTGTCTGCTGCGTCCTCTCTGGCCTGAGCCTCAGCCATGTCCTCCTCCTAATTACAAAAGTATGACTGTGAGTCGTTGACAGGAATCTTGTAGAAATATATTCGAGAAGTAGGTAACACATTGGTTATAACTCAAACTCGAAAAAAAAAAAAAAAAGAACATCAAACAGCACCAATACTGGTAAAGTGTCTCACACACACACACACACACACACACACACACATTGAAAGGCAAAATAATCCGTCAGTGTCGGATCCACGAAATTTCCCCAACAACTATTAAACAGATCTTTTATGCGTCAATATTTACTTAGATTTACTCACTTTTCTTTTCATCTGTTCCTGGAGATTCTCTAAAAACTTGGTCATCTCGTCCACTCTGGCTGTGGCCGTCCTGAGTTCAGCTTTGGCCTGCCTAATGCAGTGGAGAAAGAGTTTATGGTTTGAGCACAAAGCATTCGACTGAAGAGAGAAAACCATCGGAGGCAGGCACTAGTAATTCTTAATTATTTATTCATTGCGAGTCAAATCGGTATCGCAGCTTTCACCAATATTACCAAAATCACACATCTTCCTAATATGTCACACCCTAAATTTGCAGAGGTATTATATTCACAGCAGACACATTAAAAATTAAAAGCCACAGTAAAACACTGCAAAGGTTTGTGGCTCTAAAGTCTCTTCTTAAAAAAAAAAAAAAACTGTGCTTGAAAATTACTAAATGGCTTTGAAAAACAATGGAAGGATTTTACTTTATGTGCTTTAAACTTTCTAGATGATCCTTCGGGTTTTCTGGCTCTCAAACAACTTTTGCATTTTGATGAATATAAAGAACAACAAGTGCAGGCGACGCTCCGTGTTGACACCGGAGTTTTCTTCTGAATCTGATGCCTCTGAAGGGTGACTTTCTTGAATACCAGCTGGTTTCCTGGCAACCTGACACTGACAGCAAGACCTGATGAAGACACTAATCCTTTGTTGGCAGATCCTTCATACGCAGTGTACAATATATTCACTGTCAATGCTGCTTAAAAGTTAACTTCTAACTTGAGGGCAAAGTCAAGAATTTAAATGTAATCTCTTTTAAAAAAAAAGCAAAAAAAAAAAAAAAAAAGAAAAAAAAAAAACCCAAAACTGCTTCAGTAACAAAATAAATAAAAAATAACGCCGCGCGCAGAGGGATTAATTAGGGCAATTATTTGCTGTTTTGAAATAATTAGCATTGATTGATTATTTTTTAACAACTGCCCGACTTATGATCCAATTAAACGCATAATTAAGGTAATAATTGTAATGTAATTATGCGAGCACATTTGCTGAGGATTCCTTTTGAAGAGTACCTGAGGACAAACAAAGACAATACAGACATAATAGTGTTAAGCAGATGTTAATTTAGCTGCTTTTCTGTGCCCTTGTGAACAGGTTGCAGTTAATGGAAAAAAAAAAAAAAAAAAAAAAAAAAAACCTTTTACACTTATCTTTATTCCACAAATTGGATGGGAAATTGTTGTCAAAGGGGTACAAGAAGGGCTCCGGCATGAAGCCTCCCTTGTGTTGTGCATCCATAATGAAACAAGACCCTTTGGCAGCAGCAGCTTTAAAAACGCAAAGGTGTTTTCTGTTACCTCAGCTGGCAGTGCAGCTCCTCCATTTCTGTGCTCTGCTCTGTCACCGTCTTCAGGAGCTGCTGGTTCGCCTGCGTGTGGCAGGAAAGACAAGAATGCCAATTGTCAGGCATAGCTCCCAAACACGCCGCTCCGAAAGTTTCTGTCAGAAGCAACTTTTCAGCAAAACTTCTCACTTAAAACTTTCCATGTCCTTTCAGAACAAACCCTAAGGAGCCCTGTATCAGTCATTCACCGCTACAAAGTAAACTGCTCTCATATGCAGCGGGTGAAAAAAAAAAAAAGGGCTGCTTGCATGAACAGTCGGAGAGAGGGGGGAAAGCCCGGGGCTTAACCGCACATTAAAAATGCATTAGGAAGATATAGTATTACTATACTGTCTCTACACGCACTGAATATTGTGCAAAGTAAGCACATGTGTGTTTTGTTAAGAACACGTCCGTAGTTAAGAGTGAAGCTCGGTTTGGTTGTTTGAGACGGAGCCGTGATCAGTGCGGTGGCTGCTGCGTCTGTGATTTCAGGTGACGGAGAGGAAGTCGTGTTGGGGTGAGTAGGGCGGAAAAAAAAAAAAAAAAAGCCGAGATAGTTAGAGGATTACAGAGTAAGCTGACAGTCCATTATACAACAAGACATTTCTGGCTCACTACCAGTGGGATTTAGAAACCCATTCACTTAGTTACAAGATTAATTATTAGAGCAGGGTTCATTTTAGAAAAGCGCAAAGCATTTCGATCCCACGGCTAATTGGAAGCCAGTAATTTAACACACTTTTAATTAAGCATTACTTACAGATTCCAGCTTCTGATTGGCCGCTTGGAGTTTGTAAGAGTGCTGCTGAAACCGAACAAGCTGATCCTGTGATGGCAGAAAAGTGGGCATTCAATAGCGTTTAAGAGTCAGTAATTAGCTCCAGCATACATCAAGAATTACCTGAGACCAAACAACTCTAATTAACCCTGTTGCCAGGACAACAGCTCCACCTAGGGGTGAGGACCCCAACGCAAAAGTGGTAGTTTTACTACAGTCGGGTCAGGAATGTGGCCATCATTTACTCTCGAGTCTGTTTTGTACATTTTGCTACAGTACAACCACAAACTTCAATGTGAGCTCATGTGAAAGACCAGCACAGAGACACATCGTTAATTCACTTATCTGAAACTGATTAAAAAAAAAAAAATCTAATAACATGATCATACGTTTATTATTACACTACGCTTCCAGTCAATGCTATGTAACCACCTTCAACGTAACAGTAAGATTTTTCTTAAGTGTGTCTCCGTCTGCTTTGCGCATGTAGAGACAAAGACGATTAGGAATGCAACTCCTTTTGTTAAATAAGAAAATAAACATTTTATTGGCTAAAATGCAACAACACAACATTTCTTTGGTGAAGACTTCATCATTTGTGGCAACGAATGAATCTGCAGCTAAAATCATACTTCTAATAGCAACATGTGAAAAACTCGGCCCTTTCTGCTTTCCTTAACAGAAAGTTAAATAAAGCACCTGCTACTTAACTTGGCAGGTTAAGTATCAGGTGCTGATCAACAGCTTAGCGCTAATCTGTTGATTAACTTTGATGAATAATTATTATTTGCTTAATAACCCCTTTTTTGCAGAATTTGAAAGTCGTGAAATAAAACTAATCCACTTGAGAAGTGCTGGGTAGAACGAATTTTCAAACAGGTTATTTGTTTTATCTTAAATGCAAAATGTACATTATTTGTACAGTTGAGGCTTAATTACTGCGCTGATCATGTTGTTCTTTCAGCAAATGGCCTTCTTTTGAGTCGGTATAGCCCAGTTAATAATTAATTGATTAATCAAGCACTAAATAAGTTACAATTATTTAAATAATCAACTAATGAGAATTAATCCAATTAATTGTTTCGGCCACAGTTTAACTTGGTGTGTCAGAGGAAAAGGTGAGCTGAATACAAAACACACTACTCAGATTTCTATTGTAAAAAAAATGGAATTGAAAATCCTGTGTTTTCGTCTGCCAATGCATGAGCTTGTGAAGGTCTAGTCCGTGAATCCTGCTTAATTTGTGGCGATAATGTGTTTAAAATGAGGAAAACCTTGAGGGTTCAGAATACTTATGCATCACGCTGTATAAAAGTTTAAGCTTCTCCCTTTGCTGTGCTTGTAGAATACAAAAGTCCTGCAAGCTGATGTGGGAAAGTGAACCTTGAGCTGCTGTCTCTGAGCGTTGTGGAGCTGCCCGTCAGAGAGGGCCCTCTGGTAGACCTGCTGTAGGCGGTCCAGCTCCTGGGCCGTCGTGTGCCACAGCTCCGTGGCCTGTTTCCGCTCCTGAACTCACACACACGCACACACGCACGCACACACACACACACACACACACACACACGCACACACACACACACAAACAAATAAAATCCACCCACATTTACTCTCATAACTACTGTGTTTGTTTGTTTTTTCCTGCTGCCACCCAACAGACGATGAAAAGAAAAAAAAGATTTCAGGAAGTATCTCTGACGAAGCAGGAGCGGCGCGTTTCCTGGTGCTCACAACTGAACGCAGAGATCAAAATTATATTGATCGTCTAATTTATGTGCCAGTCACGACAAATGCTCGCGGCATCCAGCTGCATCGAATTTCTGCGGCTCAGCAAAGCTTTTGTTGCAATTTTAGAATCCGCAGGAAGTGTTTCGGGGAGCGAGCGTTGTCGCCATTCACTGTTCACAGAAATAATGGAGTTGAGTTGTTTTTCCAATATTTTTTTCCATTTATTTTTTTTTTTTTTTTTTTTCTGATATTCGATGCTGGGAATTAATATAGAAATATTCCTTCTTTCCTTAACCCTTCTTTGTAAACAAAACATTTTGATTCTGTATTTCTGTCTGAGTCTTCTATCTGGATCTCAGCAGGCTAGGAATAACTGCTGCTTCACAGATTTAGGATATAATCTGTGGGTTTTTTATAAGCAAAGGATGGTTTTTATTGCTGCTTCTATTCGATCCTGGACTGAGTAATCTTTGTAGTACTAAAGCCACATTCATAAAAAACAAAATCTATCATCATATGTAGAACTCTTTCGTTTTTATTATTTAAATCGAGTAAAATTTGATTGCATAATATTTTCAAAAGAAAATTATGATTCTGAATTAAAGTAAAATAACTAAGCAAGCTTCTGTGGATCGACATTGCTTATTTGACTGAATAAATTACCTTTACCCACAAATAAACCGTTAGCAGGTTGTAAAATAAATCGGGCATTAAAAATGCCAATGCAAAACATGAAGTGGCAGAAATCAAAGAAAGCCGAGAACAAAACCAAAACCGCAGAACAACTCACTGGCGAAGAGGCAAAAATTCACCAGCTCCTCTTAAAACGTCCAGGACAGAGATTCCTCAAAAGATATCGACCTAATATAATACCATCTGGTCCAGATGTCTAACAGAGTAACGTCTCATCCGCTAAATGTTTGATATGTGCTCTGTTTTTATGGGGAAACACAGCACAAGGAGAACGAAACTAAAATTAACTCTGGCGTTTTAAACATGGCATTTACAACATTTTGATCTGCTGCTCGTCTTCCATGACTCCACTCCCAAGCTCCTGACAAGTTTATCAGTGGTAAAACCAGCACCATGTTTGCATTGGCTTGGTGAGAAAGACGGTTTGCAGATTCCGTTCTTGACCGATTCAGATCTTTCTTTCCATAAAAATGATAAGATATGTCTATAGAAGAAAAAAAAAAACTGTTCCAGGTCCTTTGAGAGAGGCAGGTGTTTAAAAACAAACAAACAAACAAAAAAACGTAATAAATGTAACAATATCCTAATTTAACCATCGAAGCACATATTCTATCCGAAAAAGACAAGTTGAGCGCTACTGTAATGCGTTTATCGACCACAAATTACAGCAATCCTTCATTTTGATGAAGGACAAACAAAACCATGGATATTTCAGTAATTGCCTTACAGATATACTGACAAGAGCTGATCAACCTCTGATTCATCGATGCAAAGTAATCAATTGTCAGTCAAGATTTCATACTCTCAATATGTAAATAATAGTTATGTGGTCTTCCATTCTCTAAAAAAAATGGCTTTGAGGACAAACAAAAATCAGCATATTTAAAAAAAAAAAAGTCACTAAAATTTTTATTCTTTTTGGATACTTTGGCAAATCGAGTTTTTCCAATGAATTTTAAAACTGCGACTGCACATCTCAACGAACCTCCAGAACTAAGACCTGCTAATAACCAGATTTAAAAAAAAAAAAAAAACATCGACAAAAACCTCCAGATGCATTTTATGAAACTTGAAACAGCACATGATATTTACGGGCACATTTGCAGACCTGTTCAGACAGTTGAACTTGCTCCTGCAGGTTTCTGAGGATGGCCGTGTCTTCTGCCGCGCCGCCCTCTGCTTCTGAGCCCACAGGCAGGGAGTGGAGCTGCTTCTCAATAGACTCCCTCAGCTCTGTGTGCAACCTGGGGGATGTGATGAGTGTTGGAAAAATTACACTGAAAAGATCATTTTAAAAAACAACAACATCGTTTGAACCGTAGGCCGGGGGAACCTGATTCCTGTACAAATTTATTCTGGCGGGAGACGCCGATACAGTCGATGTCATTTCTTAGAGATATTTCAAGTGCTACATGACCGGTTATCATTTCAACACGTCTCTGATGACAGAAAATGGTACCAATTTGACTTCTGTTTTGCAGCTCAAGCCCACCCATTGACAGGACTAAAATCCTTCTACCTTTCATTTTCCTCTACAACCTTTTCCAGCTTCAGTCTGACGTCTGTCATCGTCTCCTGTGAAGCACACAACATAAGTGTTTTTCAAACAGGTAAACAAGAAACTTTTACCATCCAAGCCCGTCTTTTTAGATGGTCTTTAGCACCTCAGAGGCAACCCTTTCCCGATAGAGCCAAAGTTTTAAGTGGGAATATGAATTAAGAACATGTCACATAAAGGTTTTTTTTGTCTACCTGATATTTCTGAAGCTTTTCAGTCATTTCGTCCATGTGCCGGTCATACTCTGCTATAAGAGGAGCCATTATCCTATAACACAGAGTAATAATTACAAAAATTGTCTGAATAAAAGTAATTGCTTTTCTATTTTTTTTTTAACCTATAAGAACTTCAAGCGGTATTAGGGTGATTCTGAAACGTATTAAACTATTAGAAAAAAAAGAAACATGTCTGACCCTCTGTCTGACAGCCAGGGTGGAGGAGACTCTGCCTGCTGTGCCTCATCCAGCTGTCAAACACAAAACACCCAGCAGGACAGATTAGCTTTGCGTTCCCCATCAGTTCCCAAGCTCCAGCTCAGTCAACTTGTAAGTCACAACATTAACAAAACGCTCATTTATTTTAACTTAAAGAAATGTTGAAAGTGGAAAAACAAAAAAAAAAAAAAAAAAAAAAAACCGCTACAGATTCAATAAAGTAAAGACAGTATTTATTTTTGTTTACTTTAATGGTTATAGCTTACAGATGTATTAAAAAAAAATCAACTGAATCGCTTCACAATGAGGTCAGTGTTATGAAAGCTGGCTTCTCACAGACTGCAGTAAAGCCAAGCAAATTGTATTGTTACACACACTAAGGTTGAGTGGAAGGAAAACGTGTGGTGGAAAATCATTTACAGACAAAAGGGAAAATGACAGTCTTGATAAGTACTGAAGCAAAGTACATTCGGTAACTTGTGGGAGATTCAGAAGGAGGGGAATGAAACTGCAGTTAACGTCTCAAGAGCCACCACACACTGAAAGTAACTCTTGAACCAACACCAGAAGCTTCCGTACCTGGTCTAAGAAATAAAAGCACAGGATTGTTGCTCAGTCTAAATATATGTTGCACCTAATTTGGAAACTAAGGCTCCAGAGTCTGCATTCAGTAATAAAGTTTTGATTGTGGATTACTGGGGGGGAATAGCGATATTATATTTATCGAGATGCTCCAGTAAACCCATTTCTTTACTGACCATATCAAAATGCAGATAGAAACTTGGGAACCCAATGCAGAAGCTTTAGGCATGGTTTGTGTGTATTTTTTGCATCTCACCCATCCAAACCAAAAGTTGCTTAGGTTTTGCCTCTGCTTACCTATCATACACCGGGGACAGTCAATAAGTGCAGTTTTCGTTTAAAATTCGGAACATTTTCTCTCTTTGACTCTTTGTTGAATTTTCTTAAGAGTTGTTTTTAATTTGAAACTGACAAAAGCATTGTTGAATAGCTAACATAAAAAAATAAATAAATGTATAGTTCAGTTCTCTCTCTCTAGGACATGCAAGTCGAGGAAGCAAACATGGCCCGCAGAGCAGTGAAACAGCTGAGCAAGGAAATGACTAAGACTTCTGCCAGGAGGATTTCAAAACGAAGCATACAGAGCTGGATGACCATGAGGCAAAGGCAACCTGGTGGGAGAAGGGCAACCGCTCATCATTTTTTAACTTTTAAACACATTATCTCGATCGGAATCTGTTTACACATATAGCTTTGCATGAGTTGTTCAGATTCCTTCAACTTTTTAATACGTTGTCACAAACTTTGATGCATTTTATCTAAGAGACTAACATAAGCATCATTTTGAAGAGTAAGGGCAATGATAAAGTTACATTAAAAGTGCATTAAAATGTATAAAAAAAAATAAAGATCTGAAAAGAAATGCAATTGTATGCAGTCCCCATTTATTTTGATTTCCCTTAAATAAAGATAATTAGTAGATAGAATGAACCTACTGTTCTTATTTTTTTTTTTTTTCAATCTCAGTATAAAGCTGTTCAGTTAAGACCTCAGAGGATTTTTGGAGAACATCAGTGAAGAAATAGCATCATGAAGATCAAACATCGCAATAAATAAGTCAGGGGTAACAACAAACCAGGGCATGGATGTCCACCTAAAATAGTTGGTAGTGTGGGAGCTACAGGCTCAGCACAATCTGGGTGGGATACTTTGCTTAGCAAATATCTACTGGTCATGCATTTGGCAGTTATGGAAGAGGGTTAACAAGCAAGCTATTGTTACTTTTTTTTCAGCATGGACAGGGAACCGGAGATACAGAGTCAAGCAAATGCATCAGCAAAGTAATTCACTGTTTAGAGACCCCAAACCATCATGGACCTCCTAGTCAATATCATTTTTAGATTTGTTTATTGAAGATTAGAATACTATTAAATCTGACTGAAC